GGCATTTCAAATCCACTCGTCATTTTTGTGAAATATGAAAATTCCCAACTAAAATACCTTATATGATATCATGTCTTACACTTGATATAATCATTAGATTATTGAATAACATCAAAGAACCTTCATCAGAATCTCAGTAGCTTGTGTGCCGCTGTTATTAAATTTATGCAGTAAGCAATATTGGCTGCACAAACCATAGTTTACTCGATAAACCCTTATAATGTAGTAAATTGTATCATCATGGAGATTGAACCCAAGATACACCTTTTATCGTATAAATCTATACTTATTTTCCAATCATCAATCGATTGAGATAACAGCAAGAAGCCACTTTGCAATAGCTAGCCTTTTTATTAGTTTACTAACTAAAGATGCCCATAAGTAAGAATTCAGTGAATAAAACATGATGTGAACAAGAAAAAACGTATGTACGAGTATATGAATATGTTTGTGTCTTTAAGAGAGAGAACTTTGGGATTACCTCCAAGGCATCAATTTTTTCTGTCTCATTTGCCTTAGCTTCAGTTTCAAAGGAGTCATAACCGTCGGCATAATCAGTTATTAAAGCCTGTATGGCTTTTGTTAACTGTGCCAATGAGTTTGTCTGCAGAAGGAAGGGGAAAAGGAAGAAAAATGGATGTCCAGTAAAAAAATGACAAACGAAGGAAGATGACAACTAAAGAAGTAGGAAACAAAACTGTAAAGATAAGATAAGAACCAATTATCATTTTTATTTAATGTATTAATTGTATGATGAAGATGAGTATGGAAAAGCAACATTTACTATTGACAAATTTACCTTTGCGACATAAATAGGAATGCCATGAGATCTTGCGGCAGCTTGAAGCCGAGAATTCTTCTTGAGCTTAGACTGCAATGCAAGCATTACATCTGCTTCACTGATATTGTCAGTAAATTCAACTGAATCATCAATGCTTAACTGTTTAATCCCTTGTATCATACTTGCCTCTGATATCTACAACACCAAATCAATGGTATAAGTTCGATATGCTACAGGTTTCATAAAGCATCTAAGCAAGATACAGCAGATATTTTTTACCACACTGACAAGTGAAAGTAAATCATCAAATGGATTAGACTATATCCATTTTAGACCTTGAGATTGTGAAAACTCCCCAGATAACATAATTAGAGGAAGGTGTTAACTAGTATAGAAACATATGTTATGTCAGCCCCCTGTTTTTATCCAGGTCACAGTCCTAAGAAATGAAACTTAGCACTAAGCTTCAAAATATTGTGTTTTGAATGTAAAGGTTCATTTAAACTTGCTATACCAGGATTAGATAAATACAGAAATGAAAAAGGAAAATTGATCATATTACTGTCAACTACTACAAAGCACATAAGAAAAGTATTCAGTTATCATGGGATTTTTTTCAACTCATTTTCAGGGGACACTAGGCTTATTGATATTATGAGAATTTAATTTTTAATTTCTTCACTAAGATAAACCATTAACATGAGTGTTATGAATGCAAGAGGAAGAAGATAAACACCTAAGAAGCAAGATGCAATTCAATCTATAACTACACATACGTGAAAGATCTTATACGTTCTTCCTCCCCCAACGAAAAAGAAAGAGAAAAAGAAGAAGAAGAAACAACTCAACATTCTTATAATTTTCACAAGGCAATGGCCTCATGGAAAAGAACCTCCATCTCCCTTGGACCCTCTCTCATTCTCCACCAAACCAAAAAGAAGGTCCTATATAAGGTACAATTCCAGAATTTATTTCTTGTTCTGGTGTTATTTTTTATTTATTTATTTATTAATTTATTAATTTATTTATTATTTTTTTATTTTTTGCAATCTGCTTTGTCTCCAGGACCAGATGGGGTTGTTACTTCCATTTGAACCCCAAATATTTGAGAGAACATTGGTGGAAAAATCAATCTATTTCCAAGTTCATACTAGTACCAACTGCATAAAAATTAGCTGACTCGGAGAATTAATGACCATGAAGTAATAATTGACATTTAATTCTAGAAGGGATAAAAAAAGCTCCACGAATACTATGGCCATGTTTGGGTGGAACTCAGAAAAGAGTGAACCAAGGCCAGTCTGCTTTGTGATAGTGGTTCTCACCCCGTAAAGAAATATGCAGAGGGAGTCCTCATCTTTACAACAATTTGCCTCTGAACCAAACTCTGTATAGTCAAGTAGACCATCATTCAATTCCAAGCCATCTTCAACCACACTTTCACCTACCGTCTCAGATGAATCAGAAATGAAAGGCCTTAGTTCAGTTTCATCTTCTGATCCCTGATTTATCTTTCGAACCTCAAATTTTGGGTAACGACCTTCTCAAGATAGAAGTAACAGGAAATTAATTAATGAAGCAAATGTCATATCAACATCCATCAGGATGGTAAATTAAAAAATTGGAAATGAATATTGCAACGGAAAAATTATTTTGTGTAGGTGGAATACAAAACCTGAAAGTATGGCATCTACTGTTGCATCTAAATTACGATGAACTCGCAACTTAGTCTTGGAAATTATCTCAACTCCACAGCTAAAAGTTGATGGTCCTTTCCTTTCCAACACTGTTTTCTGGACACCCCTCCGACTTGCCTCTTCATCCCCTAATGTCACACTCTGAGAAAGAATTGCAAGAATGTGAGTGTTTAGCAAAGGATAAAAAAGTAACAATTTGACAAAAGCTAATCCCTGAGGCAATAGACTGA